TGCTTAGCTTTTTTCTTTGAGGCATAGCTGTTGGTTGATGTGTTGGAATTGTAAAGCATGCAGCTTTAATGATTTTTCAATCAATTGAAAACCACATTATTGCACCTTAGTCCACCACAGGCAACTGCAGCAGTGGAAGGAAATTTTCTATAGATAGTCAGGAACCCCAGGCTCAAAGTCTTATTGTACCTCAGGTTATTATTGATAGCTTGATATTAAATCAAATCACTAGACTGCCAACGTTAAGGGTAAATGTATTGAAATGGAGGCGGGAAGTTGGGTATTCGACATATGCTTTATCTGAAGGAAATGGGGCAAGGAAACAGTCAAACAATGAAGGTCTACTCAAATAAAAGGAAGAACTACAAATTCTGGCGATCTGAAGCAAAAAAGGAAATTGCTGGCGAAACTCAGCAGGTCAGGCAACATCTGTGGGAAGAAAGCAAAGTCAACATTTTGAGTCTGGTGAATCTTCATCAGAACACAAAGTGCTTACTTTTTACTGCAAAAAACATGCTAGTGATCCGGCCAAGAATCAGGAAAACTTGTCTTTCAAAGGTACAATAGTGGATATTTGACCAAAACCCCAGAAGAACACATGACATTTCAATGTTAGAGATTACATAGAATCATAGGATCCCTACAGTGTGGAACCAGGCCATTCAGCCCAACAAGCCCACACCACATCTCTGAAGAACATCCCACCCATTCCCCTAGTCTAACCCACCTAACCTAAACATCCCTGGGCACTATAGCATAGCCAATCCACCTACCCTGCACATCTTTGGACTATGGGAGGAAACTGGAGCACTGGAAAAAACCCGCACAGACACAGGGAGAACGTGCAAACTCCACACAGTCACCCAAGGCTGGAATTGAACCCAGGTCCCTGGCACTGTGAGGCAGCCATGCTAACCGCTGAGCCACTATGCCACCCTAATTTCCTAGTTTCTAATAATATTGTTGCAATTTGCTTCACACCTAGAAAAATATACAGAGTGATTGACAATTGAGTTATTAAGAAGTGTCCAACTTTGGATGATGATACAAATTAACAGCAATCATAATTGACACAAGTTATACATAATCATTAAAACATAACTAGAATAAAAGTAATAAAAGGATGGCACAACTTTCATTTCAAGTAAATACAAAACATTTCAAAATGCAGCTTGCCTTAATTTACAGAATTAAAAATGCAAGTTTATTGCCACCTGTGTATTAATGTCCCTGGATCATATGATGTCATGTTGAATTAATCAAATTCTCATTTAGATACATAAGTTCATTTACGAACTATTTCTAAGTTTTCTAAAGTATGGTATTGAACTGTCTCGTAGTCTATTCATTCTATGTATAATGTGCAGAATGCTATCTGTTCTCCTTAATTTAATTGCACATTTACTTTCATGTGGTTGTGGTAAGAGATAGTGGCAATGGAAGGTAGCATTGTAGATTTTTATCATAAAGTTCAGACACAGCTGTCCGGCTTTACCTTTGTCTGGCTGTAAGCAAGGGAACACAGTTCAGAAGTTTGATTATGTTAGACGAACTCTGGTGCTCATTACATATGATCAGCTTTAGTGTTTGTTTCTTAATGATTCCAAGCTTGTTTCCATGCACTTTGACCAATAAAGACTTCCAAACAGCTGTTATATTTGGAGCAATTGGTCCACAATGATTAGGTCAGTTTGAGGTATATTATGATGCTTGAGAAGGGATAGCAAATGAAGTCTTCCATTTGCTTTCTTAAACCTGTCATATACTTAGTAATGGCTTACATAGTTATCTACAATAAAAATTAACAAAACACTAAATAAGGTAAAGTGTACACATTGCTCTCCTTGCATTGAAATTACTCAATTCAAACGTTTAAGAATTACATCATTGGTAAGGCATTTGCACAATGGTTTTATATGGAAAATGCATTGATTAAAATATTGTAGGAATTCGTTTTTGAGTTAGATTGAATGATTCTATTTTCTCTTGGTCCTTATATGTCTATACACAAATTTATTATCATCATTTGAGAGCATATCTATATGAATCTCCTCCTTCTTGAGTCCATTGACTCACAATGCCACAACCTCCTCCATGAGTATGGCAAAGTGGCAGGGCCTAAATCCAACCCAGCTGGAATGGGAATTGAACTTCATCCTGTTGACACAAATCTAATCTGTGCCAGCCATCTAGCACACTCCTATTGAGTTGCTCTTGTAACATTGACTTTTCCATGCATGTCGTTCTTCATGTTGTATCCTGGATCTATTTCCAATTTCCCCCACCAAATGGCTGACTGGGAATATTTTCCCAGCAGTTATATTTTCCCACCTGTGTTGGAAGGATTTTTGAGTTAATACTCTCAACCTGTTTGGTTATCTTATGAACACACCTTCCTTGGCCATTAAGTCCTAGAGTGGGACTTGACTCTAGAAGCAGGGCGCTATACACCATGCAGTAAGATCGCAACTGTATTAATAATCTCTGATGTTTACCATATTTTCTCTGCCATTTATTCTGCCTACTTTCAAGGAAGAATCTCATTCTTAGATAAAAGTTTTCAATTCAATGAAATACTGAGACAAAATCCTTTGGTATACATATTTGATTTAATAGAAACTTGCTTCATAAACAAGTAGATGTTATTTCCAGCAGTTTGTTTTTCTGTGTGATTCTGTTGTATGCCAGAGCCATATCTTTTATTTGTTGGGAGCATATCTATTGCCTAGAATTTCACTGAGCCTTGTTTTTTTTTATTACTTTGTGGGATGTGGGCGTCACTGGCTGGCCAGTTGCCTAGTTACCCATCCCTAGTTGCCCTTGAGAAGGTGGTGGTGAGCTGCCTTGTTGAACCGCTGCAGTCCTTCTGCTGTGGATTGACCCACCATGCTATTAGGGAGGGAATTCCAGGATTTTGACCCAGCGACAGTGAAGGAACAGCGATATATTTCCAAATCATATATTTTCAAGTTGTACTCCACTGACTGCCCAGAGGGAAAAATCAGTAATATTTGGAAATGAATGTGCTTCTCAGACTGGAAGCCCATTTAGAGGTATACAGAATAATTCAGACCAGTATGTCTCATTTACCAAATGTTACAGGCTTTTCCTTCTGCTTGAGTGTTAGAATGATTGTCAAGAAAAAGAATGTAAAAAGATCCTTGGGGAATCAAATTTGATTTTCTGTCCTCCTCGAATCACCTGGTCTCCATTTGCATCCTCCCTTGTAGGTTAACTGAACTTGGGAAGTCAATGGCAAGGGAAAACCAGTCTCTAAGACTCGTCACAGCTCATGATGCATCATCTTATATATCACATCATTGCTCTAGGCTCACCAAAGGCAAATGATATTCTTGGACCTTTACCTAAGTCAGCAATTAAAGTAGAGGGAAGGGAAAAAAACAAATCATAAATAGAAATCTTAGCACTAAAATCAGTACTCTCATCTAACAGTTATGGTTTTATCACAACCAGATGTAGGGTTTGTACATGAAACGTTTAATTGAATGTCATTGACTTTTTACTTTTGCCTTGTCCTGCTTTATGCAAAATTTTCACTTCATATTTGTGGGAGCCAGAGTACCATAAAGAAATCTTTGGCTGAAAATTTGCATTACTAACCAGCTTTTTGGTGTTGGTAGGGAGAACTAGTTAGTTTTGTACTAAACTTTTTATTTTAAACATTCTGTTCTCTAGTCTCAGGTTATAGGAATCACTGTTGTTGAACTGGTTTGCCATAATTTATAAAATTTTACAAAGGCCTTCTTTTCCCCAAATAAAGCTACAGAAAAGCACAAACTGGTGTTGTATGATTGTGCAGTGTAGTAGGTGTTACAGAATCAGTGAGAGGCATGCTTTTGAATGTACTGTGATCTTCTTATCAAAACAATAAAACATGAACTATTTATGAAATGAGAATGGACAATTTTGTGGATTTGGTCAGACTTTCTGGTATAATTAAATAGTTTGAGATTTGAAAAATACATTTTTCTTCTCTTGCAAGAACAGTGTCTTTTCCTCCTCGGCCAAAGTTGGTGTGAAATGGATCTGAACACTGATTAAAATTTTGGAGAAGAGCTAATTTATTGTTGAAAAATGAACTTTGAACAAACATACATATAATAATTAAAGTTCAGCTAAATCATGCTATTTGTTGAAGAAGCCAACCAAAGTTTACAAGGAAATAGGATGACCATCTGCTTTCAGTAACATTATATTATGTCTCTACTCATAGCCAAACAAGTTTTGATTATCATCCCTTGTAACAATGCATGCATATTTCTTTATTGTTAAATAAATGTTAAATGCAATCTCCTATTTATTACTTATAGTAAAATAATTTAATTCCTAGAGTAATAAGCATTGTGAATTTTCCCATATTTACAAGCAAGTATAATCACTCTGTCAATTCTGATTATTTTTTATTCATTCAGTGATTTGCTTTTTTATGTTGCTCTCTCTCTCACACATCTCTTTCGATATATGTACATTTCACGTTCAACTGTTAACAGGGGGAGTTGTACATGGTATACATATTCACTGTTTTATAAAAAGCTGTTACGAACAGACATGGAACTTGAATCTGCCTCTTGGAGACCTTACTTGGTGTCACTGCTGAAGAAAAAGGCAAAGGTCTTACTGCTTTCCAAGGTTGTGGGGATGTCTGATTTGAAGACAAAGATCAGTGTAGCTTTTGTGTCAATTCTTCATAACTACTTAAAGGATGGTATGACTTGCAGAAATGAATTGCCAGTGTTAGTGGCACATGTTGTTCCTTTTAGGAAATAAAGTAAAATGTGATTTTTTTTCTTTTGTTAACCTTTACTCTGTCTGTCTGGAATGTTGAAGCATTGGGTTAACTTTCTAATATTTCTGGATTGCAATCTGTGTTGCATTGTAATCAGACTAATGCCTTTCTTAATGGAAGTGAATTTTTTGCATGTATTCTTGGAGTCTGGTTCTGCCGATACCCAATCTCACTGATAGGTTTCAATTGACAGCTGAGGATTTGTGACTGGACCATGAATCAAAACGGCAGGCATTTATACCCCAGTGCCAGTGACGATACTTTGGGAATTGCTTGGCAAAGGTAATATTTTCAATATTTCTAAAATCTACACCTGCATATCAAATGTGAAACTGCATTATCTCTTCTGTTGTCCAGCCTCAAGTCTGTTTGAAACTATTTGGTGTAAACCTATTCACTCAGTTTCTACCTTAGGATTTTCTAACACTTTGAGTACACATTTGGATTTGGAAATGTTTAACTCCTTAAATTTTCCCACATTGCTTGAGATAAAAATGGCTGTCATCCTCTTCAGAAAAATAAATGTAAAACATCTGCTCAGAATACTCTGAAGAAGTCTAGTTATGTCAAAGGAAAGCTAGCATGAAGAAAAAAGATCACTTCTTAACATTTGGTGCTCTGAATTCTGGTCATGTCATTTTTGATTGTAATTTTTTTTTCTTTTTAGGAAAAGCCATTTTTAGTTGTTAGATGGCTTAGCAGGATGGGAGACTTGATAGAAGTTTGTAAAATTATGAGATGCATAGATAGGGTTGACAGTCAGAATCTTTTTCCCAGAGTTGAAATGTCTAGTACTTGGGTGCATGCATTTGAGGTGAGAGGGGGTAAGTTCAAAGGAGATGTGAGAGTGGTAGGAGTCTGGAACACGCTGCCAGGGATGATGGTGGAGGCAGATGTGTTAGGCCATTTAAGGGACTTTTAGATAAGCGCATGAATATGCAAGGAATGGAGGGATATGGACCAAGGGCAGGCAGAAGGGATTAGTTTAATTTGGCATCATGTTTGGCACAGCACTGTGGGCCAAAGGGCCAAATTCCTGTGCTGCACAGTTCTAGGTTCTTTGTATGTTCTATGAAAGTAGTGCACCAGGGTGTGAAGTACATGTGACACATAGGTTCCCAGTCCTAACCTGAAGCAAGGAGGACTCAAACCAACACATGGAGAGACCAATCAAGCAGTGCATATTCAGGCACATAGCCACGAGCACATGCAGTAGTCTCAGAACATAATATTTACTGAGCTTACCATAGGCAGTACAGGACCCAGGTGATTCTACATTGGCTGAATTCAGTGGAAAAACAGGGTAATAAGCTTTTAGAGTCTATGTATAACTTAAAGAAAATGTTGTTTCCAGGTAAACACTGACTGAATGTGCGTTCAACACAGAGAAGCAAACAATTGTATTTCTAAATGTACAGGTACTGACAAAAAAGCATTATAATAACATACTTAATCCAACTCTAAGAAGCTGAAATTAGATTCTATTTGGAGCAAAATTGTCCTTTAATGTGGAAAATTGACAGATACAGGCCAGCAAAGAGGGATATTGCAGTCTTAAAAGTTCCAATTCCAATTTAGTTTTAAAGCAAATTACTAGTTTTTGTTAAGTTTTTGCAAAGTGAGAAATCTCAATCAGTTAAGATAACCTCCTAGGGTGCTTTTACTAAGAATACATGTGAAGGGTCTGTTCATGATTAAGGAAATGCTCGTATGCAGAAAATTCAATAACACCTTTTTTAATGAATACTTATGTATTCACAAATTAATATGTAATAGTTCACAGTTACAACCTGAGCATTTTAAAAATATAAGATTACATGCAATTGGTTATGTATTGACTGTATTAGTTCTATGTTGCTATTTATAAAACCTCTCGATTGGATCTTGGGCAAATTACGTTTATTTTGCCCATTGGATTTATGTGCGTATATTATGTTATATAAAGATTGTCATGTATAGGCATTATGAAACCTCAAACACAGGATTTTGAGGCCTGTTACCACTATATAAAGGTGTGTTTTGTTTTTGCTTGTGTATATTATTTCAATGCTATTTGACTTGTGCATTCCAGTCTGGTTCATTGCAATGAGACAAAGTTGTTTAAAGTGAATATGTGGTCAGTGAGATTTGAGTGCACTAGTCCAAATTTAAATTTATTTCTGCTCATGAATCACATTATCCTTCATAGACGATAATGCACTGTGATTGCACTCCCAGTCAGTACCCTGTCAATTCATTTGCTATTTTGCAGGAACTTTGAGCTTTCTGCTCAATTTTGTTCATTTCTATATCTCTATATGTTTTTCCAGTAAATTGAAGTCTTTTTGGTAATGGATTGTCGATCCATATACAGCCAAATGTAATAGGAAATTCAGTACAGTATTTTAAAGGTTAATCCTTTGCATGTACAGTCAATACTGTTATTTATTTTCCTCTTTGGAAAAAAAAATAAATGTTTCTGTTTGACTGTCCTGGAAAATGTACCAGGTCAGCACTTCCTGCCATAAGTTTATGTTACTGCAGTAACTTACATTAAACTTACAGTGAGGCAGCTGTTTTATGCTGCACTCTGGGTGTGGATATTTAACTCAATAATTGTATGTGAAACACTTAAAATTTTGCTTTTGTGCTCTTGAACCAGTCTTTGAAAAGATGTAGATTGAATGCCATCTTGGTCTTTTTTACTTTTCATGACTGTAATTCAGAATTGTAGAATATTTTAAGGATTTTTTGTCACTTAGTTTAAAGTCCAACAAGATAAATTATAAACTTTGTGTGCAAGGAAAACTGGCTGACAAGGTTTAAACTCATAGCCAAGTAACTTCAGCAAACTAGGGAGAAAGAAAAGCTACACAATCCATCAAATTTTCATATGACTTTAATATAATTTCTTGACTGCTACTCTAGAAACTTAGATGCAAGGTACCCAGTCATGTACATAAGAGGAAGAGGGTCCACAATCCATTAAGAAGCCATTAAATAATCTAATTTAAACCGTAATCCATACATTAACAATACCTCACTCTTGAGGTGCGCTTCTGAGAAAAGTTTACGTTTAAATAGATGAGGAACTGATGCATGAGAAGATTATTTGTCTCTCTCTAATGATGGTCACGTTGCAAGCTGTCTGGTAACTAAGGGAAACCAGACATGATGTAATTCCAGATTGAACTTGAACTACAGGGACTTAGCAAGGGATAACAATAGACCTTAGCAATCAATAAAGTCTAATTTCCACACGATTATGTTTGGTGCTTCACGTTAACCTTTATGGAAATGGTGGACGTGGATAGTACAGTGTAAAAATGCGATCCATAGACATGTGCTAACGCAAAGAAACAACTTTGCATTGACAATTACCAGCAAATCCCAAGATTCGAGATGGATTAGAAACTTTACGCTCTGCAGTAAGCTGTTTCACTGCTCTGTGGGCTCTTTGTTCCCTGAGGTAGGACAAACTTAATCTTTAGTTTCCTGTCAGATGGCTTTGGCAGAGGCTGTGTGGGGGAGAGGAAAGGAGAAGCACACAACATAATTCAAAATGCAACACCAATCATTGCCCAGCATAGTGTGAAAATTTTTATTAAAGTTTTTACTTTGCTGGCAGATTTTGCCTAGGTTGACTGTGTGTAAAAGGTGGGAAATGGTTCAAGAAAGAATAAATGAGTTTATGAATTCGAACAGTTTAAGATGCAGATTTCACTCTATGTGAATTGTAGATTCCAGTCACTAGGTTGGCCAGTATTCAAAACAAACAAATTTAGTCTTATGACAGTTGAATTAAAGCTATCTATCTGAAAGTAAATGGAGATTTTCAATCTGAACTCCTTCACGTGCATTCCCCTCTGAAATAAAGATAGAAGGGAAGAAGTTAAAATTGATAAGGAGTATGCCTTGCAAAGCAAGTGATAACAAATTCACAAAAATGTGGGGTTTGGTTAGCTCAGTTAGCTGAATGGCTGGCTTGTGATATGGTGGCTCAGTGGTTAGTACTGCTGCCTCATAATGCCAGGGTCCCGGGTTCGATTCCACCTTTGGGCAACTGTCTGTGTGAAGTTTGCATGTTCTCCCTGTGTCTGTATGGGTTTCCTCTGGGTGCTCTGGTTTCCTCCCACAATCTGAAGATGTGCATACTAGGTGGATTGGCCATGCTAAATTGCCTGTGGTGTTCAGGGATGTGTAGTTTAGGTGGGTTATTGGGGAATGGGTCTGGGTGGAATGCTCTGAGTGTCAGTGTGGGCTTGTCAGGCCAAAGGGCCTGTTTCCACTCTGTAGGGATTTTATGGAAACATTGTTTTATAGCATCTTAAAGTAGTCTTCAAGGCCCCTTGAAAAATTTACATGCATGATTATTAATGAATAATTATCGTAAATCCGGGAGCCAATGGAGAGGAAATGTTCATGTTCATTTATCTTCAAAATTGATGTTGATGTTGAGATAGTAGTAGATTACCTTGGGCAACAAAACCTTTTAAAAAGTTCAACATCCTTGATAATCTATATCAAAGTGAGTGCTTTTGTGCTCTACAACAATATTTCAGACATATAAACAGAGGACTTGGCCATGGGTTATATAGTTTGATTGTGACATCTTTTATACATTATAATTGCTTCTGTATTGTTTTTATTAATTCATGGAATCTGAGTGACACTGGGAAAGCCAACATTTTATTTATCTATTTCTAATTACGTTTGAAACAGTGATGGTGAGCTGCTTTCTTGAACTACTTCAAGTCAATAAAGTAATTTTCCCTGGCTCAGCAGGAGCAATCTAATGCTGAAAGTAACTTTAAAGTTGAGGATCTAAAGTATTAAAAGAAACAATATAAAAATTTGGAACAAAAATGGAAAATGCTGGAAATACTCAGTATGTCAGGCAGTGATTTTTGAGTCTATCAGAAGGTGAGAATATCAATCGTGGCTTTTGACCATTAACCATTTACTGTACTTTCAGAAAGATCTGACAGAGAAGCAAAGAGCATATGAAATAGTGAGATACCCATCTGATGCACTCCTGCAACCAGGCCATTTACCCATCGCGTCACCCCCACCCACTGAATGTGGTTAAGTGATTTACATAATTGAGGGTTCATTTGACAGCCATAGTCGCTTACCATTGGCATTTTGAGCAGGACATCACTTGCTGGGCCAAGAGGTATCTAACTGCATGGGAGTGACCTTCTGGCGCATTCTTCGACAACTATGGTCTAAAGAGGCTCCAATACTCAAGGAGAGTGTCTTCAGTGGTAACGGCTGCCTCCACAGCCTCCAGTGCAGCCTCA